CTTGCCTCGGGCGGCACGTGTTTGGCAGGCTGGCTGCCACGACGGCCACGCGGGAAAGAAAGGGACCCGGGCGTTACCTGACCCGTTGTCCGCACGGCGATCTTGGGGGGCGGGGGGGAAGTCAGGGAGAGATTGGGGAATTGGGCGGTCTGGCGCCGGGGCGGGAAACTATCTGGCTTCTTCGAATGCCGGTGTCTGGTTGCCGGCGTTGGCACGTGGCGGGCGGGGTGAGTGGTCAATGGGTGGTGAGATTTGCGCCTGCATTTATTTGCCGGGGCGATTGTTGGAGACGGCGCCATGAGCGGAATGTGTCCCACCTCCCATGTCGCCCATCCTCGGCCCGTGCCGGAGGACCTTTGAGGGGGAGATTCTGTGCGAGTTCGCGGAGGGGGGATCAGGGCGCAAACAATGTGCACGGAAATAAGCCCGCCGTCCTCTTTACGGCACAAGGGTAGTACCGCCCAAGCCACTGTGTTTGGTCATTACATTTGTGTGATAAATGCAATCCCATGAGCGGCTCACGCCAGAATAAGACGAGCCGTTTCTCCAACAGAATGCGCTCTTGCCATTCGTTCCCCTTCTGGCACTGTTGTTTGCGACCAGCTTGAATACTCTCTGGTTTGAATTACAATATAATTTGGCATAAATTCTGTGTCGGTAGCGATTCAATATTTTCTGGTGCAGGATTCAATACAAGTCCGTACAAAATTGACTTGGTGCGGGATGCCACGTTACTGGGGACGCGTTGAATCAGTTTCTTTCTGCCATCATGCCGTTGTGTCTATACTTGCTGTTGTAGTTCTTCTTGGTGTTTCTGCAAACTTCTCATTGCTGTTGCGTCAATTGCCCGGTCCAAACATTCCACCATTGAAGCAGGCTTGGTCTTTAAAGCGTAAACACTTTTCTATTTACGACTATTTACACGTGAAAATGAATTTTTGCGTTTTGACGCGCAAATAGCCATAAAAATGCGTAAGAATGGATCCTTTGTACTTAAAGACAGTACATAACGATTCAGGGAGTCCGGAGAGCGACAGATATATGCGCTGAAATGTGCAGAAACAATATTTTTTCAACAACATCGTTGCCCTTGCCGAGGGCGAGGCGGACGCTGTGTTGGCACTATTGGAAGGGGCAGAGAACTGATCGTTGATTAGGACATCATCTTGTAATCTGGGAGCGTGAACGCGCCGTATATATGCGTGAGTATAGCCATAAAATGGACTTTGTTCTATTTACGCTTTGTGTACATGTAAAAATGGAGCCGTAAGTGTAAAGACCAAGCCTAGCTGCCAGTTCTGGCAGATTATTGTGTCTATCTTGAGCTTATCTATCGCAGCCTCGACTATGGGGCAAATGCCGGGCGATTGAGGGGAAGTTCATTCTGCTGACTCTCATTCACCATCAGGGACGACTGCAGCGGGACTACAGGCCAGGCTCGTTTTTTTTATCAGTTTTTGCAGCGTGAATACCAAGCCTGCTTGTTGAATTTCTGCACTATTCTACGATCAGAGACCACCTGCTGAGAGCCTAGGCCACCGTCTGTAACTTTTAATGTGTCACTGTTGGGTTTCAACTCTTAGCACAAGGCGTTGTTTCACCGAGCGTCTTGAGGTGCCAGAAAACGCACTGAATCTCGCGGTGCTGCAGACTTGAAAGGTCATTGCGCACGACATGATGGGAATGGTAGATTGGCACCACCGGTGATCCGATCGTAGCCGTGGACACCTCATAATACATCATTCAGATTTGTTCCCCACCTCTGTGCGCGACCAACGAACGCTGCAGTTCCATCGGAGATCTTTTTTGGGTGCGCCTGAGTGCCCAACATGCGTTCGAAGTCTCATTGCACATGAGAGCTGCATAATGTACTACAGAAATGGTGCCAAGCCAAAAAAGGGGGCCTCTGCTGGGGCCCTGACGCCACACAGAAATCGGTCCAATGTCCGCGTGTCAGGAACGCCCTCTCCCATTTGCATCGCTAAAGTACAAGGGCCGGTGCAAATGGCGCAATGGACGCATTCCGCAGTGGCAGACTGTCCGGCCCTCCACAGGGCCGCCTTGGGCGTCAGAATCGTGGCCATGCGCGAGAAAGGCTCGGGACACGCCAGAAGCGGCAAGAAGAGGGCCAGAAGCGCTGAGGGCAAGATCGACAGCGGACAGGCGAAGCGCAGGTGCAGTCGCCGTGATGGGATCTGGACGACCGGCCACTGGGTTCCGAGTCCCCGGCGCAATCGAGTTGAATTGATGCGCCTTTTCTTTGGCTTCTGTACGAGTTGGGGCCGGGCTGGGCGCGCAGGCGGCTGAGGCGCGCCTCGTGATTGGATGCTGCAGGAGGGAGCGCTACTTTTTGGATGTTGGGCAGGTGAGTGCATTGCGCCTGCCCCAAGCGATCTCCCACCGTCGGCCGGCGGGCAGCACGGAATCCTGCCCAACCGATTGTGTCAATAGGCGTTGGGGTCGTAAAGTCCCGCCGCGGGACATTGTAGTTGAGGGGCTGGACATGCTTGTGTAGTACATTTCTCAGTTTCAGGCAATGGTGAGTAAGTATGAGACGCGTGAAGCCTGAATTTGTTCCAGCCACGTCGAATGTTAGGAGTATTTGCGTTCATTTTAGTGCTGTGCACTTCGGAATGCCGCCATGCCATCAATTCACTTGAGTTCATAGGTGTGTCGTGAGTGTCTCACAAGCAAATTATCCTCACGCAGAGGGCGCCCTATATATGGCGTGCTTTTCCTGTATGTTAAAACAGCCCTCCAGACACTGCTAGCAGCGGTTTCCTTGCACCTGTGGTAATCCATGACAAGGACAACAAGTGATGGCTCGCCGTAGGGCTTTGTATTGGCAGATTTAAACTGCAGTTATGGTTCTGTTGTGGTTCAGAGTGCCGTGTTCAAAGGATGCGCAGAGCTGGATGTAAAATCGGGATGTCTATGGAGCATGGGGTGAGAGAAGACACACCAATATGCAAAATGTTATGCGCTTCATTGCTAACAACGTTATGAGTTGTAGATACAGGAACGACCAGGACTTGAACAGTTCAAAGGAACCTGACAAGTGATGTATCAACAGAACTGTAGAATGACATCCATATGTGACTGCAGAATGGCAGAGGAGATTTCCGAAATGCACTTCATTTGTGAAAAAGGCTGTCATGTTCTGAGATAGCAGTGGTGGCCATGGCGCTTCTTTGGTTAGACCATTAGGCACACTGTTAAAGGCAGTGGAGAAGGCTCGTGACGCACCAAGACTGGCAAAGCTTGATTTACTTTCTGCAATCCTGTTCGGATCCCTGTGACACAGAGCAAGGATTACACCTGACTCGCCCACAGTCAAGCTGTCAACCAAGGGCATGGGAGTGGCTGGTTTGGAGTTGCTGTCCATTGCGCCGGAGGGTGGCAAGGTAGGCACTGAGCCTAAGGCGCATATACCTTGCACCCAAGCTAATGTCCACAATCGTCCTTGCCAGCCGTGCATTGTGATTTGAATTCTTGGGATTCCAATCTGTTGCACATGACTAGACAACTTTGGCGATGATGCCCATGCAGTGCCCCAACATCCACAATGTTTGTTCCCATCCGGTGGCTGTTGGTCATGCCAGCAGGACCATAAGCAAACAAGAAGAATTCAATGGGAAGACTGGGAAGAGCACCTATGTGGGCTTCAGCTGCTTTTTGCAGGTAGTCTGCTTGTCCTACAGCAGAAAGCACAACAAATACAGGTGTTCAGCGATTGACTGTGTCCCAAGCACCCTGTGCGGAATACTGATTCTGCTTCCAAGTTTGTCCAAAGTGGGAAATTGTGAGAGCAATGGTGAGAATGTCAACACTGAGAGTCCGTGTAACAGTGTCAGCGTTGGAAGTCGCCAAAGTGGTGGTATCGCCCTCCGTTCTGGTCATGTATGGACCAACGACATAGAAAAGCATAGAAAAGCAGTTAGCTGCTAATTTGCTTCAGTTTGTTGCACAAATGGTTTGTTACAATGCTTAAAGATTTCTTGTTTTGCCAATGTAAGCAGGCCTCCGAGGCCCCCACTTCAAGGTGTGAGTATGTTTTGAACAGCTCCCAGGAAGGCACATACGACATTTGCAGGCTGTTTTCAGCTTCTGCGCCTCCAGTCCATTTGTTTGCTGACAGCTGGTGCAAGGTGTGACACAGTACCCAAGCCTACATACCTGTCCTTGGCTTCTCCACTGTTCTTGCATGGCATGAGCATATTATCTTGCTTTCTGTGCCCTTTTCTACTGCATGCTTTATTGGCCGCACTTGGAGAGCCTGCATCATCTTGTGCAGTATGGGAAAGGTTGTTACAACATGCCGTTCAGAGGCTGCCCAATGAATGCCCTTTTGTGGTTGAAGGCCAAGCGTTGGCATGTGGATGGACCACGGTAGGAAAGCAGTTACCATATGCTGCTGCATGCACAACATCAGATGCTTTGCATCACTTTAACTTTTTCTAGCATTTGTTTGGTACTGCTTGAAGTATTTTGGTTGTGTTTGCGGTTGTATTTCTACTGAGTTTGGTTGTTCACGTTTGACTATTGTGTCCACTCTGTATTCTCTTTTCTGAATATTTGAATACTCGTCTGAGTTTTCTGCTGCAAAGTCAACTTTTTTAAACGTGATCATTACAGAAGACCAATGGAAGCACAATGTCAGATTCTCCTATTGGTTGATGGTGCTGGGATGGAAATTGCGACAGACATCAGTAGGTACTTTGTTTGGATGGATTTATGCCGTTCAGTGCCTCGAGGCTGCAGTTGCACTAACTTTACCATGTTATCGTGACAGATGCGATCATAGCATGAACACCCAGTTGGTGCTTTGTGTCATGCAGGTTGCAGAGATGACTCGTGAAGATGCAGTATCGTCAGAACGCCCGCCTGTGATCCTGGTGCTAGGGCCGGCACACTCCGGCAAATCCACTTTTGTTCAATTTTTGATCAACAACCTTTTGCAAGTGGTGCCTGAAGTTGGGTGCTTGGATACCGACGTTGGGCAACCGGAATTTACAACACCTGTACGTTCATCGATGCTAAAGCGGGGATTGCGGCTTCCTGTCATTCTGTTCATTGTTCCAAAGTTGCCATACACAGACTGCCCCTGTTGCAGACCGCATTCCACACTGTGAGTGGTGAATGACACACATGTTGGATGGTGCATCATAGCTGTGGAATAGTGTATTGGCATGTGGCACTGAACAGTGAGTAGAGCAGGGAATGGGGACAATGCTGTTATCCCATATGCTGGCAATGCTTTGTTTTCAACATTTTCATGTTTTTGAGATGTTGCTCTGAGGAGCTCTAACGACCTCCAATACATAAGTTGTGTGCCTTTTGCCTGAGTGGCATTCCTCCTTGTAAATCATTGACACAGGCTACTGTTGCGAATATCATAGTCAATGGTCTTTTGTGTGTGACAGGGTTTGGTGAGCATCAATCTTGTGAAGGATCCCATCCTGGGAACTCCAGAAACATATACGACCCAGGAGCAAGCCTATTTCATGGTGAGAGCAACTGAACGTAGTCTCAACTGAACTAAGGAAAGGTGTTGAGCCCTGGCAGTTGGCACTTCGAACCAGCTAGTTGTGCCGAGAATGTTCTCATTCAGCTTCAGAGACAGCAACAATGAAGCAGCTGTTACGTAAATCAGGTTGCTGCCTATTGCAGTTAGAGCTTGGCTGGTGAGCTCTGTGAGAGCTCCTTGTATTCTCGGTGAAGCTCATCTGCCATCATATCATTACCTGCCTTCGTTACCAGCAAGTTCATCAATGGAGGTGCTGCTTCCATTCTTCCATCCCTGTTGAGGATGGGCAAGCCTGCCCAACTCCACTTTGTCAAGCATGCCTTTCAGTCAATCATCAGCTCATCATCACCACCAGGCTCTATCCATCAAATGCACACAGGAATTTGTGCAAGCACTGGTGATGCAAGTGAGTCTTTGACTGTTGCACGTGTTGTGAGCTGTAGCTTTTGCTTGCCACATATGCCTGTTCAGTAGAAGCAGTGTAGTGCAACAGCACCCCACATTGTGTACTGCAAACCTCTTTGTACATTAGGGTGCGCCTGCTAAGACATGTTTTGCATTGTGGAAAGGGAGCCATCGAACCTGGCGTTAATCCTCAGCTGTATCTGTCATCCATTTCGCAACTCAACGAATGGTGGCAAGAGCACCACTGTTCAAGGAAGGATGCCCCACCGCTTGTGGTCAACACATGTGGCTGGGTCACTGGCATGGGGCTTGACTTGCTGACACAAATCGTCACAGTGTTGCAGCCATCGCATGGTCAGTCAGTTCGCTTTAGGACAGCATTCTTGTTTCTGCTGTGTCTTGCATACCTAACCGATGCCATGGCTTTGCTGTTGGTGCACCATTCAGTAGGCTGTCGATTGATTGGGCCACGGGAGCACACCCATGGTGTGTTGTTGGACTGATGCTTATCATCGCCTTGGAATGCATAAAGATAATCAATCGACTCGATTTAGTGTGTTGTCTGATACCAGGTTTAACATTCATATGTTTGTAAGAGTCATCCAATTTCCAGAATAAGCACAGTGTCTACTCATTGTTGGCAAATGCAGTCAAAGAAATGGTGCTCAGCTGGGGTTCAATCTGATGTTCTTGTTCTGTGGAACGGATTGGTGCGCATGCTTGCCTGCAACACTTCACAGCACAGAAGAGTCTGGCCCACGTGTTTTTGGATAGTGTGCAGCAATGTACATCAATGTTACAATGGGGGGGCACCTTGATGTGCAACATCATCTTTCTTGCATTTGCGCATGTCCAAACTTCTGTCACGCTCTTCAAATTGCACAGCACTCTGCTGCACCCTTGTGTCTGAAATCAAGGAGCTTGCCCATGTCACAGTTTTCCAGCTCAGTGAGCAGCCAGATTCAGCCCAATTGATAGGCGAAGGGGTATTGGAGGGTGGGCTGCAGCAACGGCCAGCCTGTGTTCCACCTGGCAAAGTTGTTTGCATAGCAGCAGTGCAGCTATGCAGACAGAACAGTGAGCTCTGTGAGAAGCAGTTGGGAATGTGGCGAGATGCTGTTAAAGAATTTGGGGAGGAGAGTGCAAAAGGTGAGTGTGTGAAGCCGTTGGTGTGCTATAAACATAAACTGAACATTTACTTGTGGTATAAAATGTCAACAAATTGAAAGTGCAAGCAATGGGAGTACACATAGTTCATATTCTCAAAACCCTACTTTTCGCACAAGAGCTTAGCCAAGATCTGTGAAGCACCACCGCAGTATCATTCAGGACAAGTTTTACATTTCGACAGTGCAAATTCGAGATGCTGTGAACGAGGCGCCGTTTGGGATTGTTGAATACCCCAAAGCAGGCGTCAGCAAGTGGGACCAGGATGTCTCTTGGGTAATCGATGCCGCAATCAAATCGTGTTCACTTTCTGTTTGACTCTGTTTTGGTGTGGTTGCCTGTTTTGCCCCTTTGCCCTTACTTCTGGACAGCACACTGTATTCCTGGACCTGCAGGAGCCACTGAAAATATCAATTGAGCACACTGCCAAAGCGTGCGCAAAAATGTCGGTGAGCAGGAAGTGATCAAATTTGTCTGCAGGCGACTGGTGGGACCAGTTTTCCATCCCAAGAAAGAACCCTGCTCGCCAGAGGGCGGACAAGTTCTTGTCATGGGGCATGCACTGCATTGGTGGGCCGCCAGAAAGGTAACACCCAAGACCCCAGAGAGCTAAAGAGCTGTACCGCTTGGTCCTTAGCTGCAGTCCCACAGTGCAGTATTGATGGAAGATTTGCTTGGAAGGGGATCCAGAGCCTACAGGTCTGTCTGGGGCACATCAATTGGTGCAAGGCACTTGCCAACCATATGCACACTTTCTACTGCTGTGTGTCTGATTGGCCAGGGCAACATAATTGCCTTGTACGGAGTGTGATGATGTGAGAGTGGTTGTCCCAGGAGATGTTGTCTGTGTGCCTTCGCTTGTGATGATCGCTCCCCTCTGAGTCCCACTGAGTCAGGTGGATGTCCACCCACCCTCGGTGTGGCATACCAGCCATGTGCTTTAGCAGATGGGTATGATGGGCAAAGGATTGTAGTAGCACGTTGTGCACTATGCAGTAGTCCATTTGCATTGTGGCTGGCACCAATGGCATGATGCACAGGATTCTTGGTGGCAGTAGCACGGAGCTGGCAAATGCACTGCCAAACTGACTTGTCGGTTGTCCATTGAATGGATTGCATCCCAATTAGCGCTGCCTGGAACTAACATTTGCAGTTGCGACTTGTCTGTGACGTGCAACTCGTTTAGTCCTCAGGTGCATGAACTGCCATACCTAAGACGGAAAATTAGGGGTCTTATGCCCTGGGCGTGCTGCCTGGACGATGTGGACGTCGTGTTTCTGCATGGTGAAGTACCACAGACAGGTGAGCTCCGAATAGTGACTGCCAGTGTGCGTTGTTGCTCCGATGAAGTGAACATTTAGCTGCAGTAGGAACTTTCAGTTTTCAGGAACTTTCAGGGACCATGCACTGTGGACATGAAAGTTGTACCTGTTTGCCTTTGCATTGCATGGCGTATTCTTGCAACTAGTAAGTGAACAAATCCTCTCTTGTGTGTGCGTCAGTATATACCTTAACCACGAAAGATTTACTTTGGAGCTGTTGGCAAGCATGTGCAAGGCAACTCGTAGGATTGCTGCTTTGACTCTGCTGGTGCATCTGCACTCGAAATAGCATGTCAACATGGATAGATATACAACCCTTCCTTGACGACTGGTCAGTGAAGTGTTGCACAGTTCATTGGCGTATTCAGCTGCAGAAGACATGTTCCTCGACTTTGCGCCCTGCTTGGGCTGCAATTGCACCATGCGATGCCTCGTGGGCTTATTTTTCCTCTTATCCCTCTTCAGTTGGAGCCCGCCTGCGTTGGTGGTTGAATGCAGTGGCAGTACCACTGCGGTTTGCCTTTTGAATGCAAACCAGACGGCAAAACAGCCGATTTCGCCTTTCATGCGAGTGGATCGGCGTTGTACACCTGAGAATCGATTGCTTTTGTCGGAAAGCGAGGAAGCACTGACCGTGCACATGCATAATGTCCCAGGCATTCGCAGTTTCCAGAAGTGCCACCTGAAAGCTGAATACTGAATGTGCCTGAAGTGCCCTGCTGTTGGAAGTGTGAATCGCATGAGAATTTTGCTGTGCATGCAATGTCGTTATGAATGGCACCCAGAGGGAAAGAAGACGTAGAAGAAAAGTTTGAGAGCAAAGTGGCACCCTCCTGCCCGCATACCTTGCCAATTTGATCGGCAGACACAGTGAACATCAATCCCAAAACTGTTTAGTTTTCACAATTGGATCCTTGTGCACTTTGCGACCTTAGCTATGGGCAACTCAGTACGCCTTGAACTCGGCTTGAGTTTAGTTATGTCGACGATTCCGTGCCACTATGATTGCATTTCTGCGCCAGATGAAATTGCTCAGACTTGCCGCTGCTGCGTTCAGAACTGCACGGAGCCCTTAGGGGCATGCTAGTGGGCTTGGCGACGAAACACGCTCGGTGCCATGAGAACGGGGCCGACGAAGCTTCGTCCTCGACCGGCGCTACCATTCCAATTTCATGCATTGGGATTGGCGCTGTGGTCCATGTCGACAGCACGAAGGGAAGATGCCTCCTCTTGACAGACTTACGGCATGAGACGCTGGCTGAGGTGAACGTGATTCAGGTGAGACTGGAAGCCTCTCCCTGTCGAAGGGCCCTTTGCAGAATTTAGTGGCTCGCGTGTTGCCTTGTTAAAGGTTGGTGGAAGGACTCCGCACATCATTTGGTTGACATGTCGTTCTGGGGCTTTAACGTGTTTGGTGGGTGGGGTGGGTGGGGGTGGGTGGGCGTTGACAGGGAACAAAAGTGTTTGCCAGGGCTTGCTACAATACACGGACGAGGTCACCGACAAGGACGTTGCATGGTGGGCATCTTTTGATGGTCCTGTGTGGCTTGCTTTACCATTCTTCTGCTTTGGTTTTCTCAACTGTTTGCAATGTTAGGCAGTGCAGACCATGAAAAGCCAGTGGAAGGATAACTTCGATTGCGCAATGGTACAGCAAGTTGGAGCCCAATCGTGCATTGATGCGGGGATCATAACTCGCATGGCGCAATTTTATGCAATTTTATGGCGCAATTTATATTATATGGCGATTCGAACTTTTTTGTATCGGATTCTGTGCTGGCGGAACTTACGTGGCTATCGCTCAGCGACGCAGAACGCACTGCAATACCCATTTATGCATTCAGGAGGCCAGATGATGGAATTGTGTACCTTTGCTTGGCACAGGTCGGTATGATAGAAGCGCCTTCTTGGTTGGGGCAGAGCTGTTGACGCACAAGGCAATGTGCACGAGAGTGTTTGAGTCAACGTACGTGAGGATGTGTGTGACTGCTATTCGCTGCAGCCCTTGGGACCTAGACGTATGCTGAGGCGCAGCCCATGGCAGCAACTTCCCTTTGCAGTCAGAGGATGGACAAGTTGTCGGATCCCTTGTACAGAAGGGGTTGGCTAGAGTTAAAACCACATTTGCAGGCACACGGGGCGCCCCCTCTCCTGCGCAAAACATCCCGAGCCTCTGTGCTACATGCTGTTGGAGGCGAGCACCGTCCAATGGTGGTCCAGATTGACACACGAAGACTGAATACAGGGATGTACATCTGCGGTCTGTGGCCATCGCGTCGAGGCGGTGCCGTGTGTGTGCTTCTTTTGCAGCAGACAGGAGGATAGCATTCACCTCACCTTGCAGCAAGTTGAACGGCATGCAGTACGGTTAGCGACATGCGCAGCGCATTTCCAGAGAGGCAACGGACAGCCCATTGGTGTTGTTCAATGGACGAATTTCTCGGCTTTGGAACTGATGTGTGCTGGTTGTACCGTCCCAATGAGGCGACATGGGCATTTTGATGGCGTCCACGATCACTGAGGCTCTTCCTTTGGATTTGTGCTGGAATGCGGGCAGCTTGCAGATCAGCCTGGCTTGTATGATGGGACGCGCTGGCGTCTATGGGCTCTGCATGATCATCAGAGAACAATATGTTGATCAAATGTGACTATGCGGCTTAACCCGGGGCAACCGCACCTCGCACTGTTTCTTCACTGGCCTGTGTCCATGAATCATGCGCTTCCCTCGCCCTAAAACTGTCCCAAGGAGGAAATAGACGTGTGTCCATGCCGTCGAAACATCCAAAGCATCAGACACGTGAACATCAGCGCAACCAGCTAGCTCACAGCCATCCGAGATAAGTTGAACAATGTTGAGTCTTCCATTGGCATCAGTCGTGTTTGTATCAAACTCGAAACTGTGATCCAACATGCTATATCCAAAATCTGTGATCGGTGAAAATTGCTGTACAATGATTGCTGTACCAGTGTCAGTGATCACATGTGGTCATGGCAACGCCCAGGACTCGTGCGTTGAGTCAAAATGGTTTTGTGTGTTACCCACCTGATTGTAAGCGTCCGATTAGTCATGTGACGCATATTACGCGTAGTCAAGCGTGAATACATGCCTGCAATTGTGCTGGGGTGTTTGTGAATAACAAGCTTGAGGCCATGAATGGCAGAATTGCCGCCAGTTGCTCTCCAAATCAGGACATTCTCACATGACCACAAGTTTAATATCACATATGAGCACCATCTCATAAACCCGCTGTCCCTCATGTGCCAGAATGGCCAACATATTAGCAGTTGGAGCGCAGACACCTAACCCCAAAACAGCTCACCAACACCTAGTCAAATCGTCAGATTCCACCAGCGTAGCATGCAACACCCTTTTCACCACTATACTACCTCCGTCTAAACGGGCGTGCCCGATCTCCAATTCTTGCTATTACCGTGCTCAACTCAATTAGTCAATCTACCACCATATTTGAATTACTTGCTTGATTTTAGGCAATGTGGATCATGATTGTATTAGTCATCATCACCCAACATGACATTCATACCCTTATCAAAAATGCGCTGTTCCGTTCCATGCAGGCTCTCAATTCCCCGCATTGTTGCATTGGCTTCATTCTGGTACGTTCCAATCTATTTCTCCAAAATCTATCGAAAACCTTGTTGTAGACAACAATTAGGCGCTATTATGTCCTTTTGTGATATCCGATTTCTTTTTTAAGGGGATCGTCTCTTCCAGTACACCGAACCATGTTTCCAATATTCTGGCATACAACGACTGGCGTGTTCACCTCAATTTAAGGCGTTTTCTCGTTTGATGTGATTACATGCGGCCTTCCAAACCTTGGCCAATCTGCAAGCTAGATGCATTGATCAAGGTGTCTTTTGGGCTTTGAGGACCACATGCAAGCCGTTGGTGTCAGCAACCCAAACTTTGCTGCGAGCTCCGATCGTTTTTGGTTGCAAATTCCGCTCGGGATCAAGCCGCATCAAAGCACTCCCCTCTCCTAGTAATAGCTCAGCTTGATCCAACTCTTTCAAAGGGCAAGAGAAGCATGCTGCGCCCCTCCCAACGCCCCGACAACATCCGAAATCGCATTGTAGCGGCCCTTGACGTATCACAGAAGGGCAGCGCCATTGGAAAAGTTTCAGAGCTCCAGCAATAGCTCTTGATGTGTTGCTTCAATGTCGCTTTCGTCAAATTTTCTGACTTCCGCGTTTTCACCTCCGTTTGTGCAAAATTGGAGATCGGACGTGACTTTTGAGACAGAGGCTATATTTGTCATGCAGTCATCCAGCTGCATGTGGTTTGTTGAGCTCGCCTCCTTCAGCACGAAAGACTGGGAAAGTCTTGCACCAAACGTTGCACGAAACCTCCATGCGCAACAAGTCGAAGGTAACACTACCATTCATGGTTGTGTCACTGCCAGCGACACTCAATCATTGGAGCCAGAGGGTGAGTGGCTGGTTCAACATGCAAGAAAGCGCTTGAGTTGAATCTTGAATTGGTTGGGCCGGCATTTGCGCGATGTGTGACACCAAAGAAATATAAAACAAACAGGCCACATGAGCAAAGATGCTCTTCTTTCATTCTTCATGTGCCGGGACAAAGTCCAGGTTAAACTTCAACTCTTTGTCTCCGTTGCCAGAGCTCCGGCCGATTCAACATGCTATAAGTACTTGCAGACGATTCCATCATTTGTTTCGTTTGTTATCCCTCGTGGATGAATACACTGGCGGCAATAGAATATTAGCAATGGTGAATATTTACTATGGCATCAATACTATTCGATAATGAGAATTGTTGTGGGCAACGACACGAAACACCAAACAGATTGGACCCATGGGATACGGCAAGGGACAGCAGAGGGCACAACCGCAGTCCAGTCTCCCCGCACCAGGCAAAAGCCAGAGATTACCCAGCAAATCATGTCACTACTCAGCAAATTGTATCACTGCGCGGCAAGCTAGGTCCCCACTTGGGCAGCTCATGTCACCATTTAGCAAACGAGGTCATCGTTCAGCAAATTGGGTCGCAGCTGCGCAATGTACATCAGTACTTGGCCATTCCTTGGCCAACAACAGAAACCGCCAGAAACCCCGCCGACAGATTTTGGCTTGCAGTCCCGAATTTGGGCGGGGCCCTCTCACTGCAAAGCGCAAGTCCCTCAGACGCTGCCGATCGAAGACGTGCGCCTGGCAAAACGGCTCAGGAGGTGCGTGACGTGGCTTAGAATCACAAACGCCGAGCTTTTGTGATAAGGCGCCGCGGGCTTCAGCGGGTCAGCGAATGCGGGGTGGCAGCGAGGGTGGGCTGTTATGGGCGATGGGCGCTGGCACTGTTCTCATTACCCGGATTTCGAAATTTTGCCAAGTTTCTGGGCGCACAGGCCCACCGGTGGTCCACGGTGCTCAGATCCGGTCGAATCAGTTTTGGACGTTGCGCCCAATCTGGCCTTCAATCCTTTGCGGCTTTCGCGCTGCAGTTCGCCGGGGCTGTTCAGAGGTTCAGGCTCAGGGGATGTTGGTGGCGCCCGCGGCATGGCATGACTTCCGCCTGCCGAAAGGTGTCTGCCCAATGCCGCCAGAACTGTACGAAATTTTTGCCGGGGAGGGGATTCCCAAATGTGCGTGCATGTCTCCACTCCGCTCCAAACGCCTGCTTCACACCGTAACTCTCCGTGGAGCACGGAGCGAGGCGCTAACACTATCAGCACCAGCTTGGTCACCTTCTTATCTTTCACATTGTCAAACCATAAGCCTGGGTGGATTGTGCCGTTGGCATTCAGTGGCTCTCGAAATCGACGGTTGGAACTCTCCACCGGGCTTTGCCGCTGTACACCCTTATCATGTGCCTTTCTCGCTCCTGCGCTGCCGATGTGGGTCCCAGTAGTAGAATAATGGGTGGCGGGCAAAGATGCTTAGTGGGTTAGGCCAGGTGCTGTCGATTCAAATGTTGTAATACTGTAGCATGAGCAGGTTCAAGAAGTCACCTGGTGCGAACCGATAGCAATTGGTGGACCATATTGAAACGTTGGCGCCTGATAAAGCAAAATAAAGCCATGTATAAGATCAGCCATAAAAAGTGGTGGGAGCAGCTCATTGATGCAATTTTGGAACAGGCATACATGCACGATTCTGGTAGTGTGTAGTGCCTTTGTTTGCGATTTCCACCTTTAGGAAATCATTCCCAGGCGCAGAATGTTGGACAGCAACTTCTGGTGCATCGCCAGGAATGGAATGTGTCTGCCGGAGTGTAATCAACTCAATTTACTCAATTCCCCATGGGCGCCAATGTGTAAAATAATCCCAGACAGAGCTTTTGTCAACACAGGCACAAATGTGTCTGCAATGAGCCAGTGCTGAATCCATTCTCTCCGTACCTTCTGCTGCCAGTGTGAATTCAATGGAGCAACCACAGGAAGGCATCAAAGGCAGTGGCAAGGTGATTCTACAAAAGCACCTGTTCATCTTTTCTCCTTATCGTCAAACATTCAGACTGTTCATATTTGTTGCCTGCTGCGATTCGAAATCCACAGATTTGAATTCAGCTGTACTGCCCTGATCTGCCCGTTGGCTTGTTTCCGATGCTCCATGCAACTCAGTCAGGGAGCTTGTTGTCAACAATGCATCAGAGAAATTCGCTGAAGAAGATCTGGAGAATGTTGAACTGCAAACATGTCCTTGTCTACCATCTCATTTGCCTTCAGCAGAGTTGGGCCACATCTTTGTGTGCTGCATGTGCTGTTTGCATTGGCGCAGATTCTCAATCAGGCCTGGAACACTCTGCAGGCACACAAGAAGCGGGTGCTGCCAGCACGCCAGGCCAAGCACGTCGGTTGCAAGAGGACGGGCGAGCTACTGAACTCAGGAAAGAGGAAGAGGAGAAATATCTGCCACGTAGAAAGCCTGGTGTGTGGTATGAACATGCATATTTGCATGCATTGTCATATGCATATTGGTATGCATGTCTTATTTTCAGCAGAGTTGGGCCACCTCCTTTGTGTGCTCCATGTGCTGTTGGCATTGCTGCAGATTCTCAAACAGGTCTGGAACATTCTACAGGCACATTGCAAGCGGATGCTGCCAGCATCCCAAGCCAAGCACGCTGGATGCAAGAGGACACAAGAGCCGCTGAGCTCAGGATGGATGAAGAGGAGAAACATCTCCTACAGAGAAAGCCTGGTGTGTGGAATGCATGTAGCTATCTGCATATGCACTTCTATATGTTTACTAGCTCATGGGCACCAAGACACAATATCTGCATCTACAACGCACTGCGTGAAACCGGATGTGTAGTAGTCAGGAAGATCTGGGCAGAAGACAGTGCTTCTTGTACTGTGCACTTCCCTGCTGGGTGCATGATTTCTGTCGTGCATGATGGTTGGTGTTGTGTGTCGTAACTCTGCCTTTGGACACCTCTGCACAATGTTTCTTTACATGGAACCGAGTTGCACCATCGCCTTGCCCAGGAGGGTGGGGCAGAGAGTGCAGCATATTTCTCTGTCCTGTTTCAATCTATCATGCCTGGAGTGTGGCCGCCAACACAGCTGCTGCAGCCTGGACATACCTTGGTCCAAATGCACCTGCATGGCTTGAAACCTCCCCACTGCAGCCAGTTTATATGGCATTGTGGGGTCCATGTAGGCTGCTAGTACACAATTGCTATATTTGATGATCTGAGTCCAATGGGCACATGCTACCACCAATGTGCCATTTGCTACTTTGCTGAGGGCACCTTTATTTCACCATAGCTCTGGGATATGAACAAGCATTGCATGCACTCTGTGAGTGTTCAATGGCTGGTCCTGTGTTCATGTGCTCTGATGACATGGGGTATGGGGTGTGCTTGCACAGCAATGTGAGGCCACAATAAGCTGCCAGCAACTGCAAGAGAACGTCTCCGACATTACCATTTCAGTAATGACACTTGGCACATATGAGTGTAGTATTTTCACGTGCTTCCAAGAATATATCGGTTCACCATTGCTGTGGCATCCCACACTCAGATGCCATCTGGAGTTTTGTTTTACAAGTACGCATTGCTTATTTTGCAAACATGGTGACAGCACGCTGCCCTTGTGCACAATAAGCGATGTTGCCCACTGTTCACACATCAATGTTTCCGTTCTTGTTTCTAGAGATATTGCAACATATTGTAATTTGTGTGGTAGACCGAAGGATGGACCAGAGACTGAAGGTCCTGGAAAGATTTTGCTGTTGAGTTGCATGGCATGGCAAACATTGTTGTTGCAAGCAAGCGCAGCGAGGGGAATTTTGTCCTATTAGGGGGGCAACAGCAATGAAGTTTGGCATTTGTATGGCATGTAGGCAAATCACTGGCCCCATTGTGGTTTTGCCAGACTGTTGATCGTTTTGTTTTGCGAATTCTTCCCACACTTGTGCATTGGGTGAAATCTAAATTGCAGACTCACAATCAGTCCAGGTGCTGTGCCTGGCAGGTCGAGGGTAAATTCGGGGGTTGGGGCAACCTGCCAGCCCACTTGCTGGATGCAGCATTTGACCTCGTGGACGAAGGGGATAGGCAAGGTCTGCTGAAGGCTGCACGAGGCACCAATCGGCACTGGTGCAAGTGGGCCGAGGATGCCGTTCTCGCACTGACCCCCCGTGTGGGCCCATCGGCAAAACAGCCTGCCCCTTTGGAAGAGGTGCTGAAAGCAGTCGCAAGGAAGTTCCGAAACCTGAGGTACCTGGACTTGACCTCCTGTGGGGACCCTTGCATCGACCTTGCCTTGAGACACCTGCCAAAACTGCCACACCTGTTGGCTCTCGAACTTGACAGTTGCCAGGAGCTTTCAGACGAGGGGCTGGTCTCCCTTGGGACGATGACGACACTAAGGTTCCTGTCCCTGCGAGGCTGCAGCAAAGTCACTGACCAATCCCTGGCAGTTGTGGGCAAGCTGCGGAACCTGGCCTGCCTTGGTGTGCAGTGCTGCGAAGAGATCACTGATGACGGCTTGGGGTACTTGTGCGGCCTCAGCCGCCTGAGGATGCTTGACCTGTCCGGCTGCAGCAAGATCACAGATTCGGGCGTGGCCCACTTGGTGGGCCTGGACAGCCTGTCCACACTCGACTTGACGCGCTGCGGGATCACGCACAAGAGCCTGGTGTTGCTGGGAGGCCTGACCAACCTCAGCAGTGTTAGTCTGGGATGGGTCAGGCAGTACCCAGTCGGCGGTGAGGAGTTCCTTGTGGCCCTGAGATTCTCTAAGGAGACAGGGTGAATGGTGCTCTGGCGGTTGTTGGGTGGGCATCAATCTAAAATGTGACACACAGAGCATGGCACAGATGCCTTGAGGGCGATGATGAGGGCCTGGCTGGTGGTGTGTTTGAGCAAGGCTGGGTCTCAACACCACACTGACACAGGGATGTTTTGGAAATCTAATTGATGTGAGTTGGTAGGTGCGAATCGTGGCACTCCTCCGTTTGGCACCTTGCACAAATGGGGTTTTGAATGCCAAACGGACTCAAGCAGATGTCAAATGATTGGTTTCCAGACTGTGTAGACAATATTCAAGAAAGAGCATGACCTCCTTATGGCCCGAACGCAGGCAGTCTCCTGGACGCACAAGCTGTAATTTTGGTCGCTGTGTGTCGGCCTGGATGCTGTGGGCACCAAATATGGGCATCTGGTTCTGATCCTCTCCGTCCTGCATCCCTCATGGTCCAGCAGACGGCCAAAATTCATCCAAAACAATTTTGCCAAAGGGCGTACAACGCTTTTGGCCGTGAAGAACGCTTCTATCTTGTGATAGGATGGAGGAGGCACCTGGATACTGAAATGTGGTGCAATATTTTGCAATGGAAAAAGTAAGGGAAGACAATTTTTTGAATTGCGTATGCTTGGCGTTAACGTGGCATTAAGCTCAGACCCCCCCTCCCCCCGCTTCTTAGTGTCAAGCCTTATTTCGACTCAAGGATGACTCAGCAACATTACCTAACTGCAAATAGTTAAAGGGCAAAATTGTGGCGATTCCAGTGATTTGAAGAATGGGAAGCCAAAAACCATGATAGGAGATGGGAGCAGTCCCAAAGCCTAAACATCGATCCGTTCTAGGGACTTCTTCGAAGATGGAAGGTTTTGAAGGAGGTTTTGCAACAAGTCATGAGCTATCTGCAACTGATCAGTGGCGTTTTTTGTGCATCTTCCAACCTTATTGTGATTTTAGCGCAATTACATGATCGCTTAACGTCAATGGCTGGGATGTCCCTCCTCCCTGGGATGTCCTGCCGTTAACGTCGATTTGACACTGAGCATGCAAAATTCAAAACAGTGTCTTGCCCAAGGAGTTCCCTGGATACCAGGCGACTGCTTCCTGTGATTGCTGGGATGTCAGGGCGACTGCTCTGGCAGGCAGGGCAAATGATGTGCAGACACATCACCGGGGGGGAAGGTACCGAGTTGTCAGCCTTGAGAGATAGACAGCACAGCTAATATTGCACTCCTGTTTCTGCTAGTCGTGTCTCCTCAACTCGCAGATTCGTCGAACGGGCGGCTTGTGCCATGATGCGCCTGGCTGCGCCAGTGTCCAATATCATTTCCCCCGAGACCTGTGCATGTCGTGTTGGATGAAGCCACCGAATACCAGCCGTGCTTTAAAGCACTCCCCCGTTGAAAGAATACGTCATCGAGACAACCCGTCCTCGGGCAACTTCGAAGCCCCAGACAGGAATGGAGATGAAAGCAACGAGCACGCACGAATGCAACAATTGTGTGCCATGCCAGTGGGTCGGCGCTGTTCATTACCTGTCCCTTTCAGAGGCCTTCCGCGCACCTTGTATTCTAACACACAGGCGGGCATTCGCATCATCTCCCTTTTGGTATCTCGTTAATTGTCCCTTAAAGGCCGCGGGCGTCTTCACAAAAGTGCGTGCTCCCTCCCTCTAGATTTGAATTAAAAGGGCGGCCCCGACCACTGCCGCGCAACATCCAAGCGCCAGAGGGACCCCCTGCAAGTCCCACGCCCACAAGTCGTCGCTTTTGCACGACAGCGTGGGGACCCACGCCTTAGCACATGGTTTCCATGAAAGTTGCGATCAATTTCAGGGCAACTTAGGGGCGGCTGCACTGCCTGTTGCGTGCCAGCCGATTGTGCACTTCAGGCTCAGAGCCTGCCGGCCTTTTGCAACGCCCTGAATGGGTCTTCTTCGTACTCAGCCTTGGTGATCCACGAGTCCTCCCTTTCCTGGGCCCAGCAGAGAAAATGCTTGGCTGCACTGTGTCAACTATACCGGGCTTTTCGCTGTTGCACTGTTTCGGACGCACATCTTCTTTCATTCCATTTAGCACCTCATCAAGTGGCTTTACCCGTCAACGATAGAGGCCATTTTGGTGGTTAAATGGAAGCCCTGAAGCTTTTTCACATTCACATGCCGAGCTCTGTCGATGCCAAAGCAGTCTTGACAATTTTGCAACGTCAGTCCAATCGCGCAGTTTTGCAGAACAGAAGCACGAATGTGTACCGGAAGCTGGTGCATCATTCGCAGAAGACCAACAGAAAGTGCGGCGGCGAGCCACCGTGTGGGGAATGTGCGATGCCGTGCGCTTTTCAGATTCACTAAAATTACAAATTCACCAAAATTACAGTGTGTAATACATTATGCGAGAACATGACTTTCGAAGATGAATTAAGTATGTTTCCCGATAACACAGTCTCACAATAATTACAGCATGAAGCGAACGCTATTGTCGTAACGTTTTGGTCCTCGAGATCTTGCTTCAATGCTGTGTGTTGGCCTGCTGGTGTCAATTGCCTACCAAGTGAATACATTGCAAAACCCATGGCCATTTGACTGCCATTTCCGCCGCCAAAATACTGACATTCCGTTGTGTTCGTTGTGAATTGCCAATCAGCTACAATGCCGCATTTGCGCAACAGAACAGGTGAAGTTTGTAATGAGGGCCCTTGAGGATTTTAGTTTTTATCGGTGCTAAACTTCAAGGACATGTTTCTGTCGTTGTTAAATTGAATGATGTTGACGATTTAGGGAAGACACTCTCAGAGCTTCCCTTTGGCGTTCAGATTTCAACAAAAGCCGCACAAAATCTCGACTGGAGGCCTTCAAAACTGCCTCCAATCATCTGACATGGCTTTTTGCATCTCAGTTTTCAGCCCACTAAAATCGGTGCACTTTGGGCTGTTTTTATTCTTCAAAACGTAATAAACTACACGATTATGTAATGTTGGTGAATCATGCTGGTTTTGACATATGGATTGACGCCAAGGGTGGGGCCGGGGAGAGAGCTTAACGTCAAATTGACGGTAAGCATAACAAAATCGACATAGCGTCTACACTTAGCGAAAAAATGCAATGTATCTTAATTAAATGGGAATACATGCTTTGGCAGCTTCTCGAAAACCCCATATGTGTGCTTCAGCCAGTTTTTACATTCACTTGTAGATTTCTGATCTCCTAATCTTGCTTTTACGGCTTAACTTCAATGCGCATGGACAAAAGGGCTCTATAAACTTTGTACATGCCCGTTGCAGATCCTTGCTTTTACTACAAACGGACAGTTTGGCAAAGAGGGCTCCCAAAGCATAAAGAAAAGGCCTGAGCATACACAGCTCTGACAAAGCAGCCGTGAATATTCAGGAATAAGCTGGCTTTCAATGCCCCAAAACGGGCTGCCAACATACATGACCACTGGATTCGCTTCCCAACTGTTCCCCACCTTCATGATGTCAGCCAAGACAGCCGCGCCCAAGAATACCAAGTTCCGCCGATTTGGGGCATCCTCTATCTTGACTTTCAGTTTGGCAAGCATTTCCTCCTTTCCCTAGTACGAGGCAAGCAGCTGGTCCCATCAGGATGAGCTTTGATCCCCTCGCCACGGGAGTACTGCATGAGCAAAAGACCGCACACCGGCAGCGAGCATGGATTACATGAATGAGCAGCACAAAGAACACCCTAGTGGCAAAAGGGGGGGCAGCCAATTACTGAAAAATACTGAGCGTCTCATGGCATTTTACTGGATGAGTTTTCGGTGTTCATCCCCATCTTCTGGGCTCAACATAGCCGCTCACATTTCTGCTTGTCCACCCACAAGACACGACCATTTGGAGATTGAGATTCATTCTGACACAGCGTTATGAGGCGAACATGGGATGAAAAGCAGCAGATCAGTCAACAAAGGGCATTGTGTCGCACTAGCCTGTGCCACTCGACCCATGTACAGGCTCTTAAGTTCTTTCTCCAGACGGCTGGACATCCCCGGAAACATCGTGCAACCTCCGCTGAGGACAATGTGTCGATACAACGTGCTCCGATTGTCGATATCCATCTCCTGCGCAGGCAATGACGCATTCCGGAACGCTTGGCCATGGACTTATTCCCCATTCAGGGATAGCACTATGCTATGCGATTTTCTTAAATCCAACGACAAATTGACACGAGCCCCAGATTGTTGCAGAAATGCTTCGGGGTGAGTTGTTGTTGGTCAGTTCTCTTCAATTGCCCTGTTTAGTTCATTACTGTAAATAGATATATTGTGTATTCAACTCTTACATGAAAGCGATATGTAAACTTCGTTGTCATCACTTTGTGCGCCTCAGTGTATTGCCGTGCAATGTTGTAAATAGGTGCTTCGGATATGTTCGCAAAATAGCGATATGCATTTCTGCATGGGCGTTCGGTCGCGCTCACCTGTATGCAGTTGAAGACCATTTCCGCTATCCCCGGCGCTTCGATGTCGACCGAGCTTGGGCTGATGAGAGCTTCTGGCGCCATGAACCTCTCCGGCCCAAGTTTGATGACTCGCCCGTCAGGCAAAGTGTACGACTTCATGAGGCACGTGGTCTCCCTGGCAAGCTAGAAAAGGCGTTCTTTAACCAGGCTCCTAAAATTAACACCACCCTAAAATCCTCGTTTAGGTGCCGGCTGCGTTGCCACTCCGACAAAAATGACGCCTTCACAGTAACTGTGATGGCCTAAAGGGAGCTGTAATGGCATGATTTGGTGTCAAATGACGTCGCAGTTGAAATCGCCACGATGTCGTTTCTACTGGCACAGGACCAAGGAGAAAGTGAGGCGCCTATAGATCGATTGCCGGTGAGTGGAACTGCGCTTCAGCGCTGTGTCCCGCGGCAGGACCGTAGATAATTTTGTGGCATCCGTCAACGCCGGAAAGACGGAAGGGGCTTGGTCCGTCATGCGTTGCTTGCCACTCGCATGCGGAGAAATATCCAGCTTAAAGCAGGCGAGAGGTCTGCGTCACGGAGAGCAGCTCTCAAGAAATGCACCGAAGTTGCAATGGAGAATTGCGCTTTCGCTGGCGGTTGCGTGTAGTGTCCATCGCAATGTTCAAATGCCGGGCAGCGTTTAAATGAGGACTCAGCGCGCAGAATGCGGCCCGCTCCATGGCGGCTTCGCGTCTGAAGCCGCCAGGGCAGCAGCTCTGTTAACAACCTCTGCGGCATCACAGCATTCGCAGTGATGGATCAGAACAACAGAATGCCATCGCACTCCCCGAGAATGGCTGCCATATAATGGTCTTCGATTGGGAGACGTTTTGCTGATGCAAGGAGTTCAAATGCCTTCAACGAAAGCAAGATCTTCACTCAATTTTACAGATTCGGATCCAAAACTTTAGATTTCTTAAGGAATGGTCATCCTTAAGGAACGGCAAGAATCACCTTTTGTTCCCTCTTCACGTCGAATGCCATGTAGCAAAGCTCCTCCTTGATCTGCCGTACGGTCTCAAAGTCTGCTGTTCGATTTAGGGCGTAGCCGCGGCGCAGAAGCAGGTCCACCAGATGGGACGTCACGTGGCGGCCGGCGATGTTGAGGCGGCGGGTCAAGTTGGGATAAACCATGCCATCCACGACGGGCACCTGGCCAACATCGTACGGCTCGTAACACGGGCATGTCTGGGACACGGGTTGGTAGGCATCGTTAGGAACAACAGCAGTCTTTCATTCTTTCGTTGTCACCGCCAGCAGCACAGAGGAAAGTAGCCGCAAAGAAGCAAAGAAAGAAATAAAGGAAAATCCGTGAATATCCTAGGCAAAAATGCAAAAAGTGTTCTAAAAGCACGAATGCAGGAATATGAATTTCGCGCTTGGATTCTGCACTAATTCTGCATTTGATGCCTACAAATGTAACCGTCTGGTTGGTTGCCAGTGAAGGAAGAATGTCGCCCTTGCACCCTGGAGGCAACAGCCGCCCTCTCGATACCAGCTTCTTTGTTCCCTGAATGTGAGTGTACGCCTCACACGGCCCATTGGCACTGAGTGGGTCGCAGCGCGGTCATGGGGCGCCGCACCACGTGAGAGACGCCATCGCCAGAGTCCAGGACCATGCCGGTCAGCAGACCTGAACGAGAGCAGGGCATGGCTAAATAAAAGAGGCGCCAATTGAGCAAAATTGGCCCCTGTTGTTCTTGCTGAGACTGCAAAGCGTGGCATTGGGGGCCCCCGTGGTAGTAAACCTGCAAATCGTCTCACAAACTATGCACCGGCCCTGATTGGTACCTGTGCTTTCCGTCCATGTTGAGCACATGTGCGCCGCCAGATCAGACAGATTTGGCTACCGCAGTCTTAAGGCCAAAACCCACGATATGGGCTCCGACCTTGGTCCAACTTAAGCCCACGACACGCAGCGAAGGAGTGGAAGAAAGCGATACTGAGACTTGAAGCACGATTCAGGGCATGCTTTGAGGCAAAGATTTAGCCATTTTTGGTATTGAGGCGAGATCGTTACAAGAATTGACGCCCCCACTCCCGCCACTCGTGAAACGCAAAGATGGAGGCCGCCGTGTTGATATCCAATCACCGTATGGGGCGGCGAAATAGGGATGTTTCCTGCTGTTGCTGCTACGCGGGAAGCCAAAGATGCGCAAATGATCTGTACAAATCCCTACAGATATCCGTGCACGGACTGCCTCGTAACTGTCAACAAAGAAAGAGATCATAGCACAGTTCGGGAGCCGCAGCCACGTGGGCAATGCATGTGAATTCGCCAACATCCATTTAGTGTTAGGATCTTTTTTCTCAAGATCGCAAGCTCTCGGGCAGTGCATCCCAATAACCGAAGCCGGATTACCGCAGAAACCGCAGCATCAGCAGAAAGTATGCATGGCAACTCATTAGGTCACATGTTAAATCAGGCATTAGATATAAGTTGAAAGAATAAAACGAAAACCTTGGGTATTAAATACTGTTAGGCAGAATGCTGCATTGCACATTAGATGCGAAACGAAATCTGCACCTTGTGCGTACAGGGCCAGCACCGCCTGAACTTGCACAAACGCGCCGGAGAATCCATAACGCTCAAACATCGTCTCCATCATCCGTCGCCTGTTGCTCTTGGGGTTCAGCGGCGGCTCGGTGAGCATGACCTTGCAGGAGGGAGGGTCCAAGCACAGGCGCTCACAGAAGGTGTGGTCCCAGACGCGAGCCATGTCCTCCCAGTTGGTCACCACTCCATTCGTCAGCGGGTAAGTGACCTGCAGCTGGTGGCGTTTCTCCGCGCACTCTTGCCCGATCACCACGTCCTGGGCCCCAGCAGCTTTCTTGTGCCACATTGATACAACATTTGCAAAGGAAGCTGCCGTCTCTTATTTGATGCATGCGCTGTTGTCCTTTTGCTGAAATTGCAGACTTTTCAGTGGTCTTGCTTTTGAGGTGAGGGTACTTTGGTGTTTTCAAGGTAGTTGCAGTGCTTGCATCGTACTGATAGTGCTTCCAAGCAGTTCTTTGTTTCAGGCTACTTTGGGTGATTAGAATATTTTGCTTTTGGGGTTCAAGGTGCGCTAAGTGATAAGGGGCAGCCGCCACATGAGAAATAAACTACAAATTGGATGCCATTGCCCACTATGGTTGGGACGGTGGTGGGACACGGACTTTTAATCGCAATTTCACCAGTAGAAAACAGCCTGTTTGCGACGCCAATTGCGATGCCATTTGACACAAATTGATGCCATCGAAGGCGCTTTTATGCCATCGCAATCACTGTGACGGCATCACTTTGTGTCAAAATAGCATCGCAGTTGGCATCGCAGACATGCCGCTTTATACCAGTGTTTGATATGTCAGATTAATGAAAGCGGCACAGCCTTCATAATCAGGGAGGAGTGTCGCGCAAGGGGCACATGAACAAAGGGCTCAAAGGCCACGACCATTGTCCGAACTGTTTCTCGATGACAGCGACGACAGGAACCATTTGATGGCGAATCCTCCTGCTGAGCAAGGAAGACCGTTGGGTTTTCCATCCCATTCGACAAGAAAAACGGTGCAATGGTCCGTGAGTGCGGGCGCACACAGTGCAGCACAGTGAGAGCGCAGTCAGCGACCAGACAGTGCACTCTTGGGGAGCCGTGAGCGGGGAGCGAGCGCGCGGGGCCACCTGGAGGTGCGACTCGCTCAGGCGCTCCTCCGACCTCAGCATGGGCCGGCCAACGACGCATGGGAACACGGCACGAGGGAAGTTGTCTCCCGCGAAGCCGCACTTCAAGAACTGCGCCCATTCCCAACGACAACACAGATGGGCCGCCAGTCACGAGCATTGCAGTGTCCTATCTGAAGCATCCCTCGGCCACAGGCCGTCAGAGCCTCCAGCCCAAGCGCACAGGCCAATCCTGCTGTTCAGTCCCCGGCCCTTTGAAGTCTGGGCACACTTCCTGATCGATGCTTGGCATTAAAAAGTCGGCGCCGAAAGCCCCGGAACCATGCCATTCGGGATTCCTCTCTCTTCTACGTGAGCGCGGACGGCTGTGCGAGCTCCACTCCGGTCCATTCAAGCCAAGAGGGGCCGTTGCGGGCCCGTGACGCGCGAACCGAGACGCGTGACCCATGACCGCACGCGCTCGGCGTTGGGGGGTGGCCCGGAAGCCAAGGACTTTGCGCGTGTTCCAACGTTGGCGACGCCAGCGATCCACTCTTGCCATTGCCCAACAAGGAAACAATCGAGATTGGCCACCCCGCACAACGAACGACGCTAGGCCTGGAAGAAAGTCGGGGTGTCAGGGGTCAAGACACATCAGCGCAGGACTCCGCCCTTTCACAGACACCGCAAGGCAACAAGGGAAGAGCGGTCTCCACCTCAACATAGATGGGGCGTCAGGGAGCCATACCCATCCGCTGTGGGCTCCATTTTCGTCAGGGACACCGCCAGGGATACAGAGCGAACAAACAACCCGAACGAACACCAGGGACACCGCCAGCGGACAAGCACAGGGCACATGCAACAGCGAACAGACAATCCAAGCAAACGCCAGCACCCCGCAAGATATGGGCGGACAAACGCGGCGAAAAAACATCAACGCACAAACAAACAACAATCGGATCAAACGCCGGGATGCCCACAAGCAAACAATCCCATCGACTGTCCCATGACTGGGGCAAGGATGCCCGGCTGGACGCGGAAGGCAGCTCACCCCCGTTCCGTTGTCGCACACGACCACCTTCTGGCGGGACGCAGCCAGCTTGGCCTGGTCAGGCATGCCTCTCCTCGCAAGGCGCAGCCGCGGGCACGGCTGGCTGGCCAGCGACGCGCTGGCGAAAGGCACGTCTCGCTGCTGTAGTTAACGGCGCAGGCCCGCCAGCAACTCAGTTTCTGGCTGCGGCAAACACTCCCTCTAGTTAAGAATCGCCGCTTCGTGGTGGCGGGCAGTTTCGTGAAAAACTGAGGGATTCCTGTTGGGCATTTGGCCGGGGGTTTAGAATGGCCAGGAATGGATACATGGGACACTAGTGGGCGGGTTTGTTGAATGCGTGTGGCTCAGACAGCTTAGGGAAGACACTATGTTGAATTTGGTACACTTAGCTTCAAATTGAGGCTAAGGTGGGTGGGGGTGGGGGACCAAAACCTGTGACGCCAAGACATTATGTGATCGCCACAAAATCGACGTAAGGAGGGAAGGTGCCCAAAAGTGCCATTGGTAAGTGGCAAAGAACCCGTGATTCCTGCAAGTGTTTGATCTACAAAGAAGTCCTTAGAATGGACCAATTCGCAGCCATTGAGGCTGCCCGCCTCACATATAATGATATTTAGAATCCAAATTTAACACCCATTTAAATCATCACAACTTTGACTGTTTTATTGCCTAAGAACAGCTAGAAATTGAATACAACTGTTAGGTAATGTTATGTCGTTGTAATGTCATCCTGGCTTCGACATGAGGATTGACACTAAAGGAGTAGGGGGGGGGAGAGGGGGTTTGAAGATTTGTTGCAAAGAGAAAGAGAAACAGGTCATACAACGGGCACCCCCGCCTAGGCAAATGTATGTGAGGCTGTTTTCCTCGCTATAAAAAAATGATATGTAGCCGCCAAAGCAAAGATGGGCACACAACACAAGCAACAGGGGTTGGAGGGGTGGGGTGCCTGAGCTTTACGTCAAATTGACGCTAAGTGTACCAAAATCGACATAGCGTCTTCCCTCACACAAATGCATGTGCATACGTATTGTCAAGAATACATTCTCGACCACCATAATTTGCAGACGCGTCTTTATTTGACAAGCCTGCCTGTTGGGGAGGTGAGCACCAGAGGAGTGACTGCTGCCGCTTCGGCCGGCCGTTTAAGCAGCTGCCCAGCAAGGAGGGTCCAATCGCCAACAGACGTGCATCCTTTTGTGGCAATGAGGCCGCACGGACAGGGGAAAAGTTGATTTGTGCCCTTGCCAAGCCGTAGGGGATGCCTTCTGCGGCGGTGGAAACGACGGGGATGGGGAAAGGGCCAGGCTGCCGGTCCAGGTGAGGGCTTAGGGAGAAAAAAGTTGCGTATCCCGGATGTACGTATCCAGGATATGGCCATATCGCAGGATGTGGCGTTCACATCATATCCGATCCCCTGGATATGGGCCCCTCCCATATCCTGTCCCATACCCAGTAGATGGAAACTCTTTCCGAGGTTTCCGAGGTTGATGTTAACATGCTTACCATCTCTTGATGACGTAGGGTTTCGGACTCGTTTCAGAATCTTGCAGTGGACCGTTTGGGCGTGACGTCACGTTACTATGGAAAAGGAGGGTGTCCGTGTGCAGTTTCCGAGCGCCTCGGAATCGTCCGAGCACGTCCGAGTGTGCTATTGGCAGTGTCCGAGGCATTAAGAAAAGCGTCCGGAGCGTCCACGCATCACTGGGAAACGTCCGAGCGCCTATACAAAAGCGTCCGAGCACGTCTGAAGCGTCCGAGGGCGCGGAATCCGGCAAACAGGCGGACACTTTTTTCGTGCGCGCATCGTGCGGACGTATCGGACGCTTTTCCTATGCGCTCAAACACTTTCAGCGCGGACACTTCCTATCGTCCGCAGGGCGCGCGGACGCCGTACGGGAAGCGCAGTGTTGACACTGTCCCTGTGTCGTTGCTCAGCAGGAAGGCATGGCATGAACACTGTGTTTCGCCACACGTACAAAGACATAGCAGCTCATCTGGCTGAGTGTCTTTGGGCGATTCACTGCTGGCTGGGGAAATTATCCTCGAATTCACTCTGCGGCTCGCCGCAACAGAAGGACAATGCTAAGCCCATTTAGTGCTGTATTGCGAGGAAAACAGAGTTGAGAGGAACCTGGCAGCATGCCGTAGCGTTCTCACCGTCCCGTCGAAGCGCTCCAATGGGACAGAGCCACTGCGTCATCCGATGTCAAGTGTCCATGCAATCTGATTAACAACAGCAGCCTTGCAGCGCGGCAGCACCACCCTCGCAGCCGGCACAACATTTCCGGACCCGACCCAGCTGCCCACTGCCAGGAGGTGCGCAGAACCTCCTTCACGGCATGCCGTGTCTTGCAAGCACGCCCTGTCGGGCAGCTTGAATCAACACCCTTCGTTCTGTTGCTATACCGATTCCATGTTCCTACAGCGACTCCACGTTCTTACTCTCTTCGTTGTACACCTGCCAACTGTCCCGGCAACGCAACCACCCCACGAGCGTTGGAGGGCAGAACAGTGTGCCCATAGATAACAGACGCTCCGCAGACAATCTAACCAAAGACACGGCAACATCCCGCTTCCCACTCCGTGCCCACATCAATCACCCAGCGGGCAACCCCATGGGCACATCTGATTCACCTTTATACTCACAGCCGGACGTCATGAATGATGAAGTTCCAAAATTCGAGGAATGAAATGTGACCCCGGGACAGACGCCCCGCCCAGTGCCTACCTGTCACAGTCCCCGCAAGTTCTCAAAGCTCACCTGGCGGTCTACCTACATCCATACCCAACAATCGCACTCCGCTCACAGCCCGCAGAGCGCTCCAAGCGTGCTTCCCTCAGCAATACGCAACAAAGTCGACAAGACAAATGGCAAAGACAATCTCACACGTGCTCTGTTACTGGCCCGGCCGCGGCACGATCGACACTGCGGCAATCCCCACGGGGGTGTGCATGGCCACAAGCACGGCACCCCACTCCGTCCCTTGTCTGGCATGAAAAAAAATACCGGCCAAATGTGCGACTACCTGAATCGCTGAGCTACCAGGTCGGCAGCACACCCACCGGAATCGATGTGCTGCCACCTGAAAGGCGCAAGGCCACTGTTCGGACCAGAAAAGAATACAGCTCTGGGCGCATCTGCCCAGTACTCGCGTTCCAAAGTACTAAATCTGTAAGTGGCACCTTAGCCTGTGAGAGCGCCAAAGGCCAAGCAATGCAAGACGATTTCAACTGTCCTGAGTCCGAGCCACTGCTGGATGGGCAGATCTGGCCTCAGCCGATAAGCTTCCATCCTGCAGCGCCATTCTGCCGGCGTCCAAGCACCGCAGGCGCCAAAAAGGTAATGGAGGGCTCCTATTGGCAGGGCACCACCAGAGCGCCATCAGTGCGGCGCTTGCTCAGCCAGCAGCACTGTCGGACACAACAGCAATCGCTAACGCTACTGCGTCGTCTCAAAATTTTGATCCACCCGTTGTACCATAGAATCCATCACCCCACATAGACAGGGTCCACCTGTGCCTTGTGTGCAATCCCTGCGGTGTTCCCCGAGCGTCATTTCTGCCCCACGGCATGTCATGGGGCCCAACCTGAGCGCCATGCCGACGCGGTCACGCAGAGATGGCTGACATGTCCAGTGTCGGATGCCTGGCCCTGACAGGAACACAGTCAAGCACTCAGAATGCGTTGAGAAAAGCTCAAGCTCAGATGCCCCGTACGAGTTCTGTTCTCACACACCAGAGTCGCCTCATGACTGAATGCGCTGCACACAGCCGGAATTTGCCTGGCCCAGAAACAGATTTACCGCGCTGTGAGTTCACTGCTCATTGTGTTCTGCTTGCAAGCCTTTTCACTGTCAAAGTTTCCGCTGCCAGCACGAGCAGTTGTGCATTGTTGGATACTCTGGCGAATACGTGCTCAAGCCATCCAGGAAGCACATGGCACAGAGCAGTGCATTCAAGTACTTTTGCACACCTTCAAGTGCACCACAACCATTGATGTTGCCACTTGTCGAGAGCAGCGCTGCTCTGCACTTGCCTGTCTGCCTTAGGCTGCATCTGCTGGTAAGGCCGCCCGCCTCCGCTCATTTTCTTGTTCCGTTTTGCATGTCGCCGTTCGTCGGCTATGTCACCATTGCCCTGCACATCCATGCCACAATGAGCACACAATGTATCGCCAATGCTCAGCAACTGAATTCAAGCAGGAAGTGAAGAAAAGAAAGAAAATGATCCGCGCCGTGAGCCAAATGACGAATGTCTGCGCACATTCACCAATGCACAGAAGCACAAACACTGCATAGAAGTGGCAAAAGAACTGGGGGCAAGAACGTCATCAACTGCCAGCAGATACTGAACAACTCCTTGATGGTAACAGTGCCCAGAAGATCTGATAGGGTGCCCCCGGCAACCTGGTGTGATGTTTTGGTTGTAGCCAGCACAAAAGCATCTGGGCAGAAATTGGAAATTCATTCAGCAACTCAGTGCATCATGTGGTCCATACGTTTGGAGGCATACAGAGAGCCGCTAATGTGCTTTGCCCACAGCAACCTTCAGCACACTAGCCCTGTACTCACTGCCATCAGATCTTGCACGTTCACGTTTGCCATCGTCACAGCCAAGGTTTGTCAACTGGCACCCACTGCGGTCGTACCCTGCTTTCACCTTTTCAGCCCGTTGCCGGGCACAGGTCCCGATCTTCGCATCAGAGGCTGAGCCATGGGCATGCCTGCATAGACCCTTGTTGGCCTGTTGCATGACGCTTCCATGCAGGGCATTTGCTTTGCGTCCATTCTCCCCCCAACTGCGTTGGGCCCCACGCTCGCTGCGGGCCATTCTGGAGCAGCGGGCATTGCCATTCGGCCGACTCCTTGGGCTGGATGTTGCGTTCCTTCTCTCCGGCGCCTTGCAAACGACTTGTGGCGAGGCGCCTGCCCTTGATGTGCAATGCGTCCCTTGCGCACACCCCCTACCTGCTGCCAAGCCACGGCGCCCCATCACACTACCTGCTTTCCTGCCTGAGATGCCCGATTTCAAACCGTCTACCACCTGATGGCTTCCTGGCCAGACGTCCAGCTCATCAGCTTTGCGGCCTCTCAGCTGAGCGTTCCTGCAAGGGACTGCGACCACCCGTGCCAGCCCAGCAGGATCGGTCATTCCAGTCGCACGCTGCCGCCTACCCTTGGGGCTTGAACCAGGGCTCCTTGATTCAGTCTGGCGTTTGCAGCCACTGGTCCTGTGCCCACTGCCCTGTTGCAAGCACCCTCCATGCCTGCACTGGTGTTGCTGGATCGCAACCAGGCCAGGTGCATGGCCACAACGGCCAGCAAAATTATTGTCCTTGCATCTACCAGCACTGCGGCCATTTCCGCATTTCTCGCAGGCTTGTATGTCACTGCGAAACTTGGAGTCAACGTGCAGGCCCCCGTTCTTACAGTGTGAAGTTTTTGATGTGTTGCTGTTCCTACTATTCGTTTTGTCTTTCGTGTGTTTGTTGTCCCTTTTGTATCCAATGGTCATCCCAATGGCCTGGCTGTCCTGTTCCAACTCCTGCTCCCTTTGGCAGCCACCGCTCTCCTGTGGCTGCAGCCTCGCAGTCCGCCTCACAACCGTTGTGCTATCAAACCCCTCACGTGCTTCACTCTCAGCCAGGTTCATCAGTCCACTCGCACACTTGTCCCTCTCCAGCCTTCCTTTCTGTCTTGAGCAGGCAATACTACGAAGGTTTCCACTGTCGTCATTCAGAACTGGGCGGCGCCAGCCCCGCTGAATTGGCCCAGGGGTCCTGTGTGTGTTGGCTGTCCTCCCAGAGCATGGCTTCCCCCATTCGGGTCGCTCGATGTTTCGACGCTTTGCAGGTGGGGCCCTGCGGCCCGCTTGAGAGCCGCGGATGGTGGGTTGGCAAAGCCGCTTGTCTGTGAGGACTTGGCCTGTCATACCGGCACTTGAGCTCCACTGACGCGGTGCAGGCTGGCCTTGACTCGTCAAGCATTGCGGGGTGCCCTGGTGCACAGCAGCATCAACCGACATCTCAGCAAGAACTGCTTTGGGTGTTGCTGTGACGAAACATCCTCCACACCTGGGGGAATGCTCTGCACTTAATTAGCATCATGTCACTTACCTTTGTACAGCTTTGGTCTGCCCGTGAAAGAGGATTCCAGCCAGGCTGCAGAGATGACGAAATGGGAGCCTGCGACGCCAAGCCTCGCAACGGCAAGGGAGCAGTGCTCCTGCTGTTCACCACATGACACCTCTGCTGGATTCCATGGAGCTGCAAGGCTGGGACTTGATGTCGAGGGATTCTGTGCTGTGACAGCCGAGCTTGCTCCTGCAATACCTGTGAGTCGTCTCGGTTTTGGTAGAAGTTGCTCACTGGCGCTGACAAGGCCCCCACAGCAGGCTGCCTTGCCCGGTAGGGGCTGCCATAGCCGCGCTGGATCAAAACTGGCAGATCCGCATCAAAGACGCCCAAAATGCAGTCGATTTCGGGCCTTGCGATCAAGGGCTCGCTCATGTGGACCTCTGCCAACTCAACCAAGATGGCCTTGATCCAAGGGTTCTCTTTGTTGAAAATCGGGGAGCCCCTTGTAGCTTTCAGCAAAGCCAGAAGGAATGGCAGCACAGCTGGCAAGGAGTCTTCCTGTTGAGCCGTCTTAATGACAGTCTTCAAGTCCAGGTCCCTCAGCCTGATGGGCCTGTTCCTGGCAAGTGTCAAACGCCCCAGCCAGGAGCCAAGGCGTCGAAGCAACTCCTGATCGCCCGCATCTGACTTGATCCTCTTCGAATGCACGAGTTTCCTGATGCAGTGGCAGGCCGACTTGACCATGCACTCCCTCAGCTCTGGCAGAGCATCGACCCGGGCCAGGCAGCCTTCGTGTGGGTGTTCCATGGTTGTCAAACACCTGCACAGTTGTTGATAGGTAGCAAAACTCAGCAGTGCACAAGTGGAACTAATTTCAGCCTTGTTGCAAGACGGCGCTTACGGAAACAATCGGAACATCATGTGCAAGGCCACCTGCCTTCCTTCACCTTGGAGTTGCAAGGCAAGCGCTGTACTTTTCGGCAAACGCATTCAAAAGATCTGCACTCACCTGCACAGCAGGGAGTCACCCAGCCAGGACAGGTCCTCTCCATGGACACTGGAGCGAATCCTCTCTTCCAAGGAGTGGGATACGTAAAAATCATCCAGGATGGCAGCCAACAAGACTTGGACCTCAGGCGATGGCTGTGTACTGTGCTGGAAGAATGTTGATAGCGTTCTGCTTGGAGGGTGGTGATCGCTGGACAGCGTGCCTCCCCATTGCTGACCTTCAGAGAGCCCAACAGCAAGGCTCGCCCTTGTGCGCCTGGTCTGCAATCCATTCCCAGACTTGGCAGAATCGATGTCAGGAAGGGCAGGGCTGGGATTCAGGGGTATGTTGGTGGCACACGCTTTGGTGCTGTCTATGCTGTCCATGCCATTCACAACCGCAGCCTTTGCACCACCCACTGGCATTGCATCTGCCCAGCTGTCGCTCTTCGACGACCCCAGCCACGGGTTTGACATACCCACCAGTGACGATTCTTGTGTGACGCTCTGCATAGATAAGCTCTTGGCAACAGAGCACTGTGCCAAGCCAGACTGACGGGCATCCAACACTGTTGCCTTGCTCTGACTACCAGAGCCATCACACAGACCCTGCTCACTCATCGCACTCTCCATCACCATATTCTTCACCATTGAGCACACCTCCTCAGGGTTACAGTCCGACGAGCACACCGCCTGCCTCAAAAAATGCTCAACAAGGTTGCGGTAGGCCTCCTGGAAAATAGCGCACTCAGGGACGCCCATCCTATCCAAGGCCACAAGCAGCACCTCCTTGCAATGCCTAACCAGATGGTCCAGCACCTACAGCACAAATGGAAGGCAAACTGTTTTGGCCTGGGTCGGCAGAAGCAAGGAAAGGATAACGACCAGGCAGTGGGTAGAATGGAGAGCCATGGGCCACAAGCGCACTGACACAAGCCATGGATGTTTGCATGCCACTCTTTCAGTTGCCCAGCGATTAGTGTCACCTGACCAAGCCAAAGCACCCATACATCGTGCATGAACGCATGCCCTATCGCCTGCAACGTGCAAGACGGGGCCTGCCACACCACGTGCTGATAAAGCGACCCCACACCTTGCACAAGGACCTGCCAAAAGTTCGCTCGCCAAACAGGGACTCAACTTGCGACCAACATGTGCTTTCCATTCACGCCACCACGGACAACCCACATGAGCATCAAGTCAGCATCAATCCGCATCAGCCACAAAAATGAGACAAAAATAGTTGAACATTGGAAGAACCAAATATTCAAAACAGACAAAACCTTTCGCACCTGCCGCACGCCCACCTCGTGGCCGCCCTTGGCCAGCATGTACAGCGTCTCCAGTAGGTCCAGGCTCACCCACGCCTGCCCGTCCGCCCCGTCCGCCCCCCGCCCGCCGCCCCGTCCCCCAACCGGCAGAACTGCCTGGTCGGGCCGGAACTGGAACAGCCGCGACGGCGCCGCGACCGCGTGCCTCAAAAACTCCACCTGCGCCTCGGCATTCTTCCAAACGCTGCCCAGCACCGCCTCCAGCGGGAATCCCCCCGATCCCCCGTGCTGAAACGCCTCCATCAGCGCCAGGAACGCCCTTTGGTTGGCGACAGAGAAGTCGTCGAAGTCCAAGGACGCCGCCACCCTCCCCCAGTTCAGCGCCCGACCGCCGCACCCCATCTGGTGTGTCGCGTGCCCGGAGCTGCAGCCGGCCGCCCCGCCCCGCCGATCTGCTCCCCCCGCCCCGCCATCTTGGCAGGATCCCAGATTTGAGATCAGGACAAGAGCCCTGGCGAGGGAGGCCTCCAGTACTTGGCCCCCTGAGACCAGGTCGTCGGCGATCAGGCCCAGCGCTGCCTCCACTCTGCAGCCCCCGCCGGGCATCGGCCCGCCGAAGCCCACCGCATCGCCGGGCCAGCCAACATCCACCATCTCGCTCAGAGAGCGAGACGCCTGTTTCGCCCGAACGGGCAGATCGGCCAAGATGCCGCACCGCCGTGCAAAGTACTATACCCCCCGCCGGTCGCCAGTCGCATAACTCCTCCGCACGTGTTTTCCCACTCCTGCGCAGCGCAGCGGCTCAGGCAATTTTCACCCCCCAGACTCGAGCACGCGGGACGCCAGCAGGAATGCTAACGGCAAATCGGACAACGCGGAAGCAACAGGGGAACAGAGAAATTCCCTGCCGCACTGAATGCTGGCTCCAAGCCAGAATTTTCGGCGCAACGCTGCCACAGCAGCCTTCGGATCGATCCCATCTTGATGACCAGCCCAGACGCGGAAAGCAAATTTTTCCAGAGGCCGGTCTTTCTCAGCCAGCCAGGCACGCAGGCCGGGACAGCGTCTGTTGAAATGATCTCAGGGCAGGGCCACACACGCGATGATCGATCCCGCTTGCGCCGGGCGGGATCTGCGTGCGATCGCCGTGCGCGGCGTCCGCGGGGCAGATGGGAAGGTGCGCCTGCCGCAAAGGGGCAAGTGCCATGGTCCGGAAAAGGGCCTGCGGGGCCGGCTCACCTCCTTAGC